TGTCGACAAAGTTGTGATAACACTCTCTGTTATTGAGCTCTAGTCTAGTATTGAAGACATCATTGTTTGCGTTCATTAAGTGTTGAATACTATTCACGTATTCCTCGAACACAGTGTCCAGGAATTGACGTCCGGTCGACAATACAGACAACTCCGGGTAATCACCGCTTTGTTGAGCCATCACTAGCGGGTAGTCCTTGTTATTGACAGTACGGGTCAGCTCAGCACCAGCTAAAGACATCGATGACTTCTTGGAGCCTATGATTATTGCAATCAATGGATATAATTATTAAAATAAATAAATGTTTACAATCGTATAGTGACAAGGTGATTTTAAATGGTATTTTAGAATAGCTATCACAAGTGCCATAAAAAATTCTAGGTTATATAATTTATTATTATTTACTAATCTTAGCAATCCAGGTAATTCAAAACATATCTAGATCACTATTTGTACGGTTACGAGAGAGTCAAACATACCTAAAAATTGTGAGATGGGCAATTTGGCAATGGACAAATCACCATACTGCATTACGTGAGATGTGGTGGTCTTCTTCTTGGTGTAGGCAAACTGTTCCTGAAGTGTAGTGTCTTTTGTGGCCAACTCTGTGTTTTCCATCCAATAAACACTGTATACATCACCTGTTATTTAGGGTATTAAATAAATATAATTTTTGTCTATTTAATATTACCAGGGTAGCTTTATTATGTAGTATGTTACTTACCAACATCAGTACCGAGATCCTTGTCAAAATAGCAAGTATAGCTGGGCTCGTTGGGCAGGGATGCGGTGGTGGCGTATATGTTGATGTCGGTGGGAAGTAATTTGTCAAACATTGATCCTAGTGGTTTATATAAAAAATCAATTATAAACTTATCATGTTTAATTTGGTATTTAACTAGAGTTATAGAGAGTTTATAAGAATATTGATAAATATTGTAAAAATAAATATTGTTAATTTAATGTGCATACCTGATTCGCAAGCCTCAATGTAAAATACTAATTTGGCGTATTTCTTATCTTGGTGCATTTGTTTCAGCGTTTTCATTAGGGGTTCGGCGTATAAATACTTGTCGGGGAAGGCGACCAAATCGGGAGCACCATGGTCATCGAAAAATATAAATACGTGATCGTTTGGTCCACTTTCCAGCACTTTCTTACCCGCCTTTTTCAGACCCTCATCGCCGGCCAATACTTTCAGGAAATTCTGTTATGATAATTAAAATGAATGTTTTAGTTACAGTAATTAAAATAATAATAATATAAATACTGAATATCACATAAACTATATTATAAATGTTTTAAAACTCATTGTTATGCTTATTAATTTAAATTGCTAAAACTGTAAATATATCTAAATGAATTTTTTTGTATAATTTATCACTGTGCAATATTATTTTAAATTGGCTGAAAACGTGAACCAAACTTACTAGTTTTGCATTTATTTTTAATTAAAATTTTTATTATTTAAAATAATTAAAATAATCACTAATCAGGATTACTAACTTAGTTTAAATAATAATTATATAAATAATGACTATTTCATTAAATATATTTGGCCATATTCAGACACATTAATTAAAACATTATAAATGTCATAAAAATTATTGTCATCTTAATAATTTTATTTAATTAAACTGTAAATATGGTTAACTGGTAATTTTATATTATTCATTAATATAATATTAATTTAAGTTGGGATATCGGAATAGCTAGAGTGTTTAACCTTTGTTTTCCAATTACTTTTAACTAAAATGTACATGTATATTTTTTAAGTAAATGAAATAATCAATGATTATTGATGTATTATGAAATACTAAACTGTAAACATGTTTAAATAGCAATCTTATCTTAATCATCAATTAAATGCTAATTTATTTTGGCTAATCGCAGACTTCGGTTTTTTGCAATTTTAATTATAATATTTTTGAAGTTTAAATTATATAAAATTGTATTATAAAACACTACTTACTTCGGGGGTAACCTCTTTGCCGGTGTAATGCTTGGGTACGCCGTGATAGACATCAGTGCCATTATGACCGGTCGGCCCGTTGTATACCTTTCCCGGGTATTTGTTTTGCCTATTGTTAGCGATATCGTCGTAATGCATGACTATTATGTTTTCTTCGGGAATACCGTTTGCCTTCACTATTTGATACGCGTGGTATACGTCGGCCTTTAGGGTAAAATTTATGGAAATATATAATTAATTGTTATTAAATGTGACTTAATTGCATAATTACCTCGTTAAAATTAAACTGAAACTGGCGCCATTTGGGATTGAGCTCGCTGAAAAACGTAAAACATTTGCGAATATGGCCGGGCTCTTCGGCCACCACCGAGACAATAGGGTTTACTTCCATATGCCTCATAACTTGGTGATTTTTCACACCATACAAAGTAATCCTGATTAAATACGATCGCTGAGTATGATTACCATCGTCATTTATGCCAGAATCCTTCCACAAATCAAACGGAATGCTAACATCGCTGTCAAACATGTAATCCAGCGGTAAATTTTGTTTATCATAAAATTTAGTAAAATTTTCATAAATGTCAATCAAATGCTCTTTCAATGTCTCATTCTTATAGTCGTATTCATTAATGCTGTCCATTAGGCGCTTGTAGTGTAGCCACTGGTCCC